ACCGACGCCGACGCGCTGGCCGCGGTGGTGGTGGACGGGGAGGCGGCCGCGGCGGGCGGGGAGGCAGGGCCCCACGCGATCGCTGCTGGGATGGCGGCAGCAGAAGAGGCTGAGCTGGAGGCGGTCGAACGGAGGAGCCCCAGCAGTGGCAGGAGCGGCGTGGGCGGCAGGCCGGCTGGCTGGGATGGCGGGGGTAGCCCCGGTGGGCAGCCCGGTGCAGGCAGCTCGCGCGATGGGCCCGACCCTAGACCCCGCCCGTCCAAGGCAGGCTCTCCCTCCGCTCCCGCCTGGCGCCAGCAGCGCGGCGGGTGGCTGCGGACGCCACTGCGGTCGGCCCAGGGGCTGCTGGCGGCTGCGCGGCCGGTGGCCCGGGAGGTGGCCTCGGTACTGCGCATCCCCACCTTCCGAATCATCGTACTGCAGGTGAGCAGCGGTACTGCAGGCCCAGCTGTGGTGCAGCTCAGGTTCAGCTGCTGCCTCGCGTCGCTCCGCTGCCGCCTACCTGTGGCCGGAAGGCGGCAGGCCGCGCCGCACTAGAGCGCTCAACGGTGCAGTGCACCTCTGCTCCCCTTTCCGCTACCGCCTCCTCGCCCGTGCCCCCTGCTTTCCTCCCAGCACTTTCTGTCTTTCCTCCCGCGCCGGCTTTCCTCCTGCAGGGCATCATGGGATCCATCCCCTGGTCCGCACTCGTCTTCCTCACCCTCTACCTCCAGCTCCTGGGCATGAGCGACGCGCAGGCATCCGCGCTGGTGGCGCTGTTCCTGGCGGGTGGGCGGGGCGCCCGGGGCGTGCGTGCTGTGCGTGTGTGCATGCGTGGATGTGGGGGTGCGTTTTTCCCCTGCGGGCCTATTCCTGGAGGGTGGGCAGGGTGCCTGGTGTCTGGGGCGTGCGTGCTGTGCATGTGCGTGTGTGTGCCCCACTTGCATAGGGTACTTGCCTGCCCTGCATATGGCCCTGCTGTTGCCTCCAGCCGCACCGCTCTTGCCCGCCGCTGCCTCCGCTCCCTCCCCCTCGCCGCCGCTCAGGCACCGCGTTTGGCGGGCTGATCGGCGGCTGCGTGGGCGATGCCGCCGCCAAGGCCTACCCCCAGCACGGCAGGATTGCGGTGACGCAGGTGCGCGCCTGCTGCTGGCGGCCTGCCATCCGCAGCAGCAGCACTGGCACGGCGCCCCTTGCAGGCTAGCCACCGCCGCGCCGCCAGCCCACCTCTCCCGCCGCCGCCACCGCCGCCTGCAGTTCAGCGTCGGCATCGGCGTCCCCTTTGCCTTCCTGATTTTCAAGGTGCGCCAGAGTGGTGCTTTCCTCAGCCCGCCAGCCTGCCTGGCTCAGCCTGCATCCTGCGGCACCGACCCCCGGCCAGAAGCAGGCCTCCCCGCTGC